TTTTCTCTTCAGCAGTTAGAGCAATCTTGTGACTTCTATCAGTGTCCAGCAGAGCACTAGTTAAAGTAGGAGTTTTCATTCTGCTCTAGAAGGATGCTGGACCACTGACCTCTGTCTGGACAGTGCAGATTGGCATTGTGCTGATCATGTACACTTGCCCAAGAAAAAAAAAACCTCTCTAGCTGTCAGGAATGGACTTGCCAGTAATGGTGGGACTCACCTGCCTTGTGGGCTGCAGTACCAGGGCTGGCCAGCGGGTGCTCCCAGCAATCAGAGACTCAACCCTGCAGCCAGCCAAACACCTGAAGCTGATTATGCAGGTGTATTTAAGGGATGGCCAGACCTGCAGTCTGTGCCTTGGTGTGTGTTTTTCCTGGGCCCCTGTATCTTGTTACCTGCATTCCTGTTCCTGTCTGACTGATTCGTTGCCGACCCTGCCTGATCCGGACCTCAGCTGACTTCTCCTGTTTGATCCCTGGCTTGTGACCCCGACCATTCTCTGCCTGACCCCCTGTACCTACCTGCCCATTAGTTGCTGTACCCGGCTCGTGACCTGACTACTCTCTGCCTGCTCCTCTTGTTCCTACCTGCCCGATTGTTATTGACCCGGCCTGCCTGACGACGCTTGCATTGTATGTATTGTTATCTGTGGGTGGTTTGGTTTGGTTCGTTTGCACTGTGTTATGTTTTAGTATTGCACTGTGTTTATGTATTGCTAGTGTTAATAAATTATATTGTTTATAACATATCTGAAGCCTGCGTTTCCCTGCGGCAGTTCACATACCTCTGGTCATACCCTGGAGCCCTGACATTAGCATTACACACCAAACTGAGCATGTGCAGAGTGACTCCACACAATATGTCTTATCAGGAGATAAGAGGGGGCACTGGAAGAAGGGGAGGATCAGAGAATTCAGGATCAAACAGCATTTTGCACAATGCAGAGATTTAACCCCTTAGGTTCCACAGTGAATATAACAAGCATGCTTACTACATATACAGACTGATTTTACTGTTGTGGTTTTAGTAACACTTTAATGGTGATATCGAAGAGGAAATATACATGACACAGCCAGAAGGAAAAATGGAGAATCTTGTGTGCAAGTTGCAGAAATCTCGTTATGGACTCAAGCAATCAGCTCAAGCATGGATTTTAAAAATAAAGTCTTGCTAGACGAAGGATTGAAACGAAACAGAGCTGACCCCATGTCTACACTCAAAATCTGTATATTCTGAATATATGTATATTTTACTCTATGTGGATGACTCGATTGTTGCTCGCAAAAAGGATGAGGAAATTGCAAAGTTGACTGCAGTGCTTAACCAGAATTTTGAGACTAAAGATCTTGGGGATGTGACATATTATCTAGGCCAGGGCCATGGATAAGTGGGTACCACCAGTCCTCCTGTATGGGGCCCAGGTCAGCAGGGGGCCCAGGCAGCTGGGAGAATCAGATGTTGGCAGGGAGGGTAATCAGCATAACGGGGGGGGGGGGATTACTGGAACTGATCCCCAGCTGAAAGCTGCTTCTCTGCAGAGAGAACCATACTGTTAGGGACCAACCGGCGGTAACCTCTAGCGCCCCACAGACCAGAATTCCCCAGGGCGCGGAATCTAAGCTCCGACCTGCTTGTTCACCAGAGCCCCTGATGGTGGGGATGGACTTGGAGCAGGACGAAACCAGGTCGCGGCTCCTGGGTACAACCAGCTGTGGTAGAGGTACCTGCCAGTGGTATGTAGCAGGTGATAGCCTGATGTGAAGAGGTGGAGGGAAGTGAAGTCAGCCAAGCCAGTTCGGTAACAGTGGAGGAGTAACAGTACAAAATCAGCAGGCAAAGGGATAAACGGATCACAAGCCGGGTTCGGTAACAGGATGTCAAAACGTATAGGAGCAGACAGAAGAATGGTTGGACGAGCCAGGGATCAGAGCAGGAGACGGTCAACAGAATCGGGGTCAGGCAGGGTTGGCAACAAAGCAATCTCACAGGATACAGCAGGAACAGCAGGAAAGACCATAAGGCAATTTGGACATTGCACTGGCCAGTTTAAATAGCCCACCCAGATCCGACAGGTGCGTTTGGGTCCTAGTGCCTGCCCGGCGCCGTCATTGGTGACAGGTGCATCCGGGTCCTAGTGCCCGCCTGCCTGTAGGTCTTGTCGGGATCCTGCGCACTTGCAGATTCGTGCGTCTAGGTAAACCGCGTGTGCGCAGACCTGCGCGCCGTGGCGAACCTTGGGATTCCTGACACATACAGGAGATCGGCTCCAGTAATTGCCCTCCCCTGCAGCACCCATCACTCTCCCTGTGCACCATACTTTTCTCCTTGTTGCCCAGACCCCCATAGGTCCTTCAGGATGGAGAGTGGGAGAGGGGTCTAATAAATATGTCACATTTACCAGCCACTTCCTTTCCTGAATGAACACAATGAGTGATTAGTACCTATCACTCACTGTGTTCATTCATAAAAGCAGCATAGTAAACTGTGTTATTTTGGGGGGAGGGGGGGGCTGTATGGGGCCCCGTGGTTTCTAACAGTGGCCCTGATCTAGGTACTAACGTACAGCATAAAGAAGATGGCAGCTTACATCATAAATCTATAACTGGGGCAGTGCTTCAGCAGTTTGGCATGACTGAAACTAAAGAAGCAAGTTCTCCCATGGGCACAGCATACCTAAAAACAAAAGGGGATGAGGATCTTATTCTTAATAATGATCAGACAAGCAGTGGGGGCATTGCTTTATATTTGAGCCACTACATGTCCAGACATCGCGCTGTCATGTTGCTTCCTTGGAGATGCGTGAGTGAACCGTGTAAAAGAGACTAGACATCAGTCAAGAGAGTCATGAGATATCACAAACAAATGAAAGACTTGAGTCTGAAACTGTCTGCACTTGGTGAGCTGAACCTCAAAATAATATGTGGACTCTGATTGGGCAGGTTACCTAAGCACTTGAAAATCCACAAGTGGTTACTTGTTCAAATTAGGAAACAGTCCTATATTTTGGTCCAGCAAGAAGTAGATCTCAGTAGCTTTGTCTTCAACAGAATACATTGCTGCTGCCTATTCCAGTCAAGAAGCTGTGTGGTTATGTCAATTGCTTGAAGATCTTGGACAGCCAATGTTCCAGCCTACAATCTTATATGAGGACAATCAAGGATGGATCAAACCAGACACCAATGAGAAGATCAATGCAAGAACAAAGCATATTGATGTCAGATATCATTACATGCATGATCTGGTTGAATAAAATGTACTTGTGCTTATGTATTGCGAAACTAATAACATGATTGCAGATGCTTTGATATAACCGGTTACAAGAAACAGATTTATAGAACTGAGATCCGAAATGTTACTAATATAAGGAGTAGTTGTTGAGTGGGGGTGTTGGAATACAATGTTCATGTATTTTGTACAACTACATCACTATTCAGTAGAGATATATTCTTCAACCAGTAGATGGCAGTGTTTATAACTTTGTAGCTGCATCTATGATAAACTCTGTCTTTTCTATAAAATAAAGTTTCCTGTTTCCTGTTTGCGGTGACGCAGAAAAGCAAGTGTGGACTGTGCACTGTTTGTTCTGTAGGGCTATATACAGAATCTCGTTAATGTATGTAGTACAGGGGTCAGGAGTGGGTAATGTACTGAGTGCTGATAGCTCTGAGGAAAGGGATTCATCCCTGAAATGCGTCAGAAGGCCGACCACACCATCAGTCGGATGCTCTGCCAACTTTGCAGCCATCTCTATGGCTTTATATATGCACTATGTTTGTGAGTATATATTCTTTGTCTTTTTATATGTTTTAATAAACCTTGGATAATGCGCTAGGTGTTTGCACCACCTGTATGCTTTCTTCCAGTTCGTTGATCTCCCCATCTGAGGAGGGCTGCATCTCTGAAAAGTTATCCATAAGCCATTCACACCCCTTGTTCCCTTTGCTTTCCCCTGACATTGGCTCCCTCGAGGCGCTGGAGACTTTACACTTCTGTCCGCTTAGGAATAAGTGTGTGGATGGAGGAATTTTTTTTTTTTTTTCAACCCGCTGAATAAAATAGAATAGCTCGTAGAATAATCTATGGGCTGACTGAAGCTTTTTTACCCTGAGAGCTGTCAGGTCATGTCTATGGGCAGCATGAAACTCAAATGTTGAATGGCATGCAGAAATTGCTGTTCGTCTAAGCAAACGTTATCTCATTTCCCAAAGCATTTCTCCTCTGTTTTAGAGTATTTAATGGACTATTGTTCATTATTTTTGTTTAAACAGTCATTAAGTGCAGCCAAAGGAAAACTCCCTTCCTGCTCTGTGATCAAGGCCTTAAAAACAGAGTAACTAAAGGCAACAATAATGCTTGAATGGCTCTGCTAATGCTTCCTTGCATTGGATTTGAATGACTGTATAAGGCTTCTTTCTGGGGTGAGAAGGTAAGTGTAAATGATATGAATGATGTTTGTGTGAGATCTATTAGTGGGGAGTTTATAGCAATCATTCTTTATATACACAATTATTAATATTACTGTATTGATACTACTGTATCTATAGAACAAAAAAAAATCACATAGAAGTGACAAGTGGCATGAATTAAGAGTACCGTTTAGGATTTAATTAATAGCATTACATATTACAAATATGTTCAGTGATTTATATCCAATTTAAAAAAAACCCTTGTATTATGATTACATCAAAATATTGAAAGTGAAATGGCCCATTCATACCTATGTGTTTTAATGTACATGTTCAAGACACATCACTGTATGTACACAGGTTAGCTATCATTTTAACTGCTTTCCCGCTGCCCTATAGCAGATATACTGCTACAGGGCGGCAGGGGTGCGCAAAATCAAATTTTATATATATATATATATATATATATATATATATATATATGTGTGTGTGTGATTTTGCATTTCCGAGCAGAGGCGCACGCAAGCCGTGCATGCGCCCTATTTGCGCCACTATTCATGGCCTTGGCTGTCAATCACCGGGTCCCGGCTGGTGATTACTCGCTGGCACCCGGTGATCACAGAGCATTACCGAAGGAAGGAGAGAACTGTATGTAAACGATACAGTTCTCTCCCCTATCAGCTCCTGCACATTGCTTTGTATGGCTCTGCAGTGTGCTTACAGTTGAAAGCACTAACACAGCACACAGTAAAACAGCACACAGTTAACCAGTTGATCCCCTCACATGTTAACCCCTTCCTGCCCAGTGCCATTAGTACAGTGTCAGTGCTTTTTATTAGCACTGATCACTGTATTGGTGTCACTGGGGATGTCAGTGACACCAAGTCAGTCCCCCCCAGTGTCAGAATGCCTGCCACAGTCCCACAGTTCTGCTATAAATTTACATCTTGTTTTCCCATGAATAGAGCTTTCTTTCAGTGGTATTTGATCACCTGTGAGGTTTTAATTTTTTGCGCTATAAAAAAAGGCTGACAATTTTGAGAAAAAAAGCAATATTTTTGACGTTTTGCTATTAAACACACCCAGCAAAAAATTTAAAAAATCTAATTTCGTCATAAATGGGAATTGCTTGCTGCCATTACTAGTAAAAAAAAAAAATTAAAAATCCCAGTATATACTGTATATCGCCATTGGTAAACGCTATAACTTTCATGTACATCAATAAATTTACACATATTTGGATTTTTTTTGCAAAGACATATAGCAGAATACATTTTGGCCTGAATTTATGACGAAATTAGATTTTTTAGATTTTTTGCTGGGTGTGTTTAATAGCAAAACGTCAAAAATATTGCTTTTTTTCTCAAAATTGTCAGCCTTTTTTTATAGCGCAAAAAATTAAAACCTCACAGGTGATCAAATACCACTGAAAGAAAGCTCTATTTATGGGAAAACAAGATGTAAATTTCATTTGGGTGCAGCAATGCATGACCGCGCAATTGTCAGTTAAAGTAATGTAGCGTTGTAACACTAAAAATGGCCTGGTCAGGAAGGGGGGAAAATCCACTGGAGGGCAAGTGGTACTAATTCACGATTCCTATTTTATAAGTAAACTTCAAACTAATCCATAGCACACCTTCTGTGCTTGTAGGCAGGTGCATTCTGCTTTCTCTACTGTAGGTGGCACTTGAGCGGAATGGTATCGCAGCCAGAAAAGAAGTCAGGAAAAACTTGGCTTCTCTATAGTTTCCTTGTCTCCTGAGGCAGAGTTCCGGTTGGCTATGCTGCATTCAGGTTACTCCTGGTGGCCATCTTGGGTCAGCAGAGTCTTTTTAAGGTCCCTGCCCTCAGGTTTTGGCACGCATTTTGCGAAGTGGATAAGAGAGGGAAAAAGCACCCGTCTGTTAGCCAAAGTGGTAACGGCAGGAAGGGGTCTTTGATAAGGAGGGACAGGCTAAGGACAGGCATCTACTTCAAAAGTCTCCCCATTTGGGACCGGACTGGCCAAGACGCATTCCATCCTCTGAGACAGACACTGTTGGTGCATCTAAACCAGCTGTGTTCTTAAATTACACAAAACTGTGAGTGCTTCTGTGCCGTGGCACTCTCCCACTGGGCTGTCTGTTGAGTTGAGCCTTTTCTTTAATACAAGTTATTGCTCCTGCAACTGGACTGTGTACTTACTCCACCACACCACGATGCACCTACACACATGCTAGCATGTGGTCTGGATCTCAACAGCAGTTCAAATCCCCTACACATACACAACTGCTGTGCTCCATTCCATAATGCACATACTCCCTGAGCAACGTTGCTGATTAGAGTATTGTGCAGGGGGCATGGCAGACAGTTAGGATCTGGACTACCATTCTCACACAGAACATAATGGTCCAGGTCTTCAGCATGCTGCCATGGAAGACCTGCTAAGCATATTAATGAAAAAAACCCTAAACAAAAGAATATTTTACTTTTATGCACCCTCATTTCAAACATTTCATATGCCTAGATATGGTTTATTTATTTTACTTCACATATTTCATCATGCTTCTTTATTTTATAACAAGTAACAAAATAAAAACTAAACCTGCAATTGGAGATGAAAACCAGCTCATGGCTCCAGCAGTTGGCATGAGCCTGTTACAGTTTTTGTTCAGCTGGCTCCTGCCTTTTATGTAAAAGTGATCGGACTGGCTATAGAGTCACCAGGGTGGACTGACCATTTGGAAACTCAGGCACTGCCCGAGGGCCCGGGGTCAGTAGGAGGCCCCATGAGATGCCTCTGGTACCTTTTTCATAGTTTTTTTTGAGTTTGGGCAAGGATACAGGGGCCCCATGAGTTGTCAGTCCGCCCCTGAGAGTCACCTGTTCATTTTTATGCGACTGTGAAGTTGCAATCCATCCCCCTCCCCCTCTGTGTTTCCTGGGCCCTCCTGCTTCTCTGGGGAGCCTGGAACCATGGTAAATGCGGTCAGGATGGTGAGCAGGAGCAAATCAGTCAATGTCCATCCCCGGCTCTGCTCTCGAATCAATGAACACCAGAGCTCTCAGCTCTGATCATTTCTGGGTTCAGAGTTGTCAGAATCCAAGCTGAAAAGAAGGTTTTTGTTAGCCCCTTTGTGAAGGCAATAAAGTTTCATGGAAAAATTGTTTAAAAAATGCTTAAATCATATTAAAAAAAAAAATAAAAAAAAAATATATATATATATATACAGGTGAAACTCAAAAAATTAGAATATCTTGCAAAAGTTCATTTATTTCAGTAATGCAACTTAAAAGGTGAATCTAATATATGAGATAGACTCATTATATGCAAAGCAAGATAGTTCAAGCCGTGATTTGTCATAATTGTGATGATTATGGCTTACAGCTCATGAAAACCCCAAATCCACAATCTCAGAAAATTATAATATTGTGAAAAGGTGCAATATTCTAGGCTCAAAGTGTCCCACTCTAATCAGCTAATTAAGCCATAACGCCTGCAAAGGGTTCCTGAGCCTTTAAATAGTCTCTCAGTCTGGTTCAGTAGGAATCACAATCATGGGAAAGACTGCTGACCTGACAGTTGTGCAGAAAACCATCATTGACACCCTCCATAAGGAGGGAAAGCCTCAAAAGGTAATTGCAAAAGAAGTTGGATGTTCCCAAAGTGCTCTATCAAAGCACATTAATAGAAAGTTATGTAGAAGGAAAAAGTGTGGAAGAAAAAGGTGCACAAGCAGCAGGGATGACCGCAGCCTGGAGAGGATTGTCAGGAAAAGGCCATTCAAAAGTGTTGGGGACTTTCACAAGGAGTGGACTGAGGCTGGAGTCAGTGCATCAAGAGCCACCACACACAGATGGATCCTGGACATGGGCTTCAAATGTCGTATTCCTCTTGTCAAGCCGCTCCTGAACAACAAACAATGTCAGAAGCGTCTTACCTGGGCTAAAGAAAAACAGACCTGGTCTGTTGCTCAGTGGTCCAAAGTCCTCTTTTCTGATGAGAGCAACTTTTGCATCTCATTTGGAAACCAAGGACCCAGAGTATGGAGGAAGAATGGAGAGGCACACACTGCAAGATGCTTGAAGTCCAGTGTGAAACGTCCACAGTCTGTGTTGATTTGGTAAGCCATGTCATCTGCTGGTGTTGGTCCACTGTGCTTCATTAAATCCAGGGTCAACGCAGCCGTCTACCAGGAGATTTTGGAGCACTTCATGCTTCCTTCCGCAGACGAGCTTTATGGGGATGCTGACTTCATTTTATAGCAGGACTTGGCACCTGCCCGCACTACCAAAAGCACCAAAACCTGGTTCAATGACCGTGGGATTACTGTGCTTGATTGGCCAGCAAACTCGCCTGACCTGAACCCCAAAGAAAATCTATGGGGCATTGCCAAGAGAAAGATGAGAGACATGAAACCAAACAATGCAGAAGAGCTGAAGGCCGCTATTGAAGCATCCTGGTCTTCCATAACACCTCAGCAGTGCCACAGGCTGATAGCTTCCATGCCACCCCACATTGAGGCAGTAATTGCTGCAAAAGGGTCCCAAACCAAGTACTGAGTACATATGCATGCTTATACTTTTCAGAGGTCCGATATTGTTCCATGTACAATCCTTGTTTTATTGATTGCATGTAATATTCTAATTTTCTGATTGTGGATTTGGGGTTTTCATGAGCTGTAAACCATAATCATCACAATTATGACAAATCACGGCTTGAACTATCTTGCTTTGCATGTAATGAGTCTATCTCGTATATTAGTTTCACCTTTTAAGTTGCATTACTGAAATAAATGAACTTGTGACCGATATTCAAATTTTTTGAGTTTCACCTGTATATATATAATTGCAACTCTGTTACGGACATACATAAATGCAAACATGAACACATATGTAAACAGCAATTTCACAACACAAATTGGGTATCACAGTAAATGTCAGAGTGGGATCAATAATTGTAGGGCCATCATTCACTGATGACCTGTAAGGGCTTTTTGGGCACTGTAATTTTTCATAAGTGCGCACAATTTTAGGGTTTGAATATGTTTGGCATCAATTAACCACTTGCCCTACAAAAGATGTACCCCCCTTCCTGACCTGGCCATTTTTTGCGGTACAGTTCTGCGTTATTTTAACTGACAATTGCGCGGGTCATGCAATGCTGTACATAAATTAAATTTATGCCCTTTTTCCCCAAAAATAGAGCTTTCTTTCTGTGGTATTTGATCACCTCTGCGGTTTTTATTTTTTGCTCTATAAACAAACAATCTTGAAAAAAAATATTTTTGACTTTTTGCTATGAAGCATATCCAGTAAAAAAAAATTTTAAAATCCAGTTTCATCATAAATTTAGGCCAAAATGTATTCTGCTATATTTCTTTGCTAAAACAAAACCCAATACGTGTAAATTCATTGGTTTATGTGAAAGTTATAGCATCTACAAATGATGGTATATATACTGGAATTTTTTTTTTTTTACTAGTAATGGCCGCAATCAGCGAGAAATACACAGCAGCATGTCCTTGCTGGCAGGAGAGAGACATGTGTTGTTTACACGCAGGTCTCTCCCCTGTTAGTTCCACACAGTGATTGCCGGGTGCCGGCCGGGAATCTCCAGCCGGGACCTGGTGATTGACATCCGTAGCTGCCAATGGTGGCATGGGTAGGGTGGGGCACGTGCTCCCCCTACCTGGAAATGCAAATAATTTATATATATATATGTGTGATTT